GAAACACCAACCATTTGACCTCTATTTATCCAGGGTAGAAATACAATTTATAAACATAGAAAAACAAAATTTATTTAACTAATTATAATTAAAATATACATCAAAATCTACAAAATTGTATATGCTATAGATTAAAGTTACATTATTTATATCAGGTAAGGAGAAAAAATATTAACTGCTTTACATAAATAATAAAACTTTTAAAATATAAATAAAACATTATTACTTAATTCCATACTTATAAAGTATACCCAATTGTTTTTAACTTCTTTGCTCGTTTACAGTGTTTAGAAATGTATAGTATGAAAACACCATCTTGTACGTCTAAAAAATAAAAATTTATAAAAATTAACAATTATTTTGGTATAAAATTTATTATAAAACAAAAATAACTACTATTTAAATGGGAATAAGCCACAATTAAAGGTTAAAGTAAGTTTATTGACGTTTCAATTTCCGCTTCTTCGGAAATCTTTCTCAAAATACCAACATTAGTAAATATACTATGAGGGAGAAAAGAGTGAAACTCGAGCTGTGTAACGACAGATGCTGGGTATCTTACTCAGACCATAAAACCAATGAAGTCATTCGTAATAGAACAAAAGTAAAAGATGCTATCGAACATGCACCTAAAGTGAAATGGAAAAGGGCTGGACATAATGAACGTCTCGGGAATTGACGGCCATATGAAGCCAAAAGACCACGAACAAGACCCCAAATGCGATGGAGCGATGATATTAAAAGAACTGCAAGTCCAATGTGGAAACGTCTTACAAACAACAGAGATGAATGGCGAGAATTAGGAAAGGCCTATAATTAGGAGAATATTGTTATTAAAAAATAGTAGTTGGTGGTAGAAGGGTGAAAATGTAGGCTTATAAGTATTTTTTGATACTATTAAAAAAATAAAATATTTTTATATATTAGATATAGAATATAAAAATGCTTATAGGAGACTTAAATGCCAAAGTGGGAAAGGGTAAATGTGGAGAAACCGTAGGACCCTTTGGACTGGGGGAACGAAACCTTTGCTGTGAAAAAACAACTGGTAATCACTAACACTTTCTTTAAACCACTAGCTAGGAGATTATATACGTAGAGATCACCTCAAAACACCTCAGATCACATCATCAGAAACCAAATTGATTACATTATGCTGAATAAAAGATTCAGAAACTCAATAATATCATCCAAAACATATCCTGTGCTGATATCGGGTCAGACCATAATCCACTGGTAGTTAACATCAGACTAAAGCTGAAGAAGATAGAGAGTGCAAAAGCAAGAAAATACGATTTGGGACCATTAAAAAATGAAGACACCAGGCACCAGATACAAACCTATATAGAAAAAGAATTAAAAAATACAGACAAAGCTAATGAACCAGATAACGAAATGGCAAAACTACAACAAATTAACCAGACAATCCTAGATAAACATCTTCGCCTAACAAAGGTTAAAAAGAAAGAGTGGATTACTGATAAAATCCTAAATATGATGGAGAATAGAAGAAGAGCTAAAAACAGAGACATGTGGGAGTATAAACGAATTGACAAAGAAATAAGAAAAACTATTAGAGAAACCAAAAACAAATGGTTTGAAGATCAATGCAGAGAAATAGAATCATTGGAAAGTAGACACGACTCGTTTAATCTCCACAAGAAGGTAAAAGAGGCAGCAGGAATCTACAAACCCAAGAGATCAGGATATATGACTGATGATCATGGCTACCCGGTAAGAGATATTGAACAAACAAAGAATATATGGAAGAGATACGTTGAGAAGACATTCGATGACGACAGATACAACAACCAGATAATTATGGAATACGATACAGGGACACCAATCACTCAAGACTAAGTCAAAGCCACAATTAAAGCAATCAAAGAAGGTAAAGCACCAGGGCCCGACAACTTTCATTCAGAATTTCTAAAAATCATGGGAGACGAAGGAGTAAAATGGCTTACGACAACGTTCAATAAAATCTATGACTCCGGAAAAATTCCAGAGAGCTGGTTAAAATCTACAATTTATATTAGCTAATACATCTAAAAAACTTGAAAAAACTTATAAAAAAACGCAAAGTTTGGATTCAGGGATGGCATTAGGTACAAGAGAAGCCTTGTTTGCGGTTCAGTATATTATTCCAAAGGTGCAGAGATGTCAACTGCGATATTTATGTATGCTTTATCGACTACCAGAAAGCTTTCGATAGAATCAAGCACGATAAGCTCATGGATATACTAAAGGCAACTGATCCGGATAACAAAGACCTTCGAGTAATCAAGAACATAGACTACAACCAATCAGCAACCATTCGGGTGAAAGACCAACTAACAGAGGAAGTTGCAATAAAGAGAGGAGTACGACAGGGCTGCATACTCTCTCCCCTATTATTTAACGTCTATTCACAATACGTCATGAGCCAGGCCTTAGAGCATATCGAAGAGGGTATTCTCATAAATGGTGAGCGCCTGAATAACATCAGATACGCAGACGAAACCATCCTCTTTGTAGACAGTCTAGAAGATTTATAGACACTAGTAACGCAGTTGTGGAGAATCAGTCAGGAGAACGGGCTTGATTGTAACATCAAGAAAACAAAGTACATGATCATCAGTAAGGAAGCATATTCCACCCAGACAATTACTGGTAGATCAGCAAAAAATATTTCAAGTGCTCCGTTACTACATTTAGGAACCACTATAAAACGACCATATCTGCCATATTTTTAGACATGCTACAAACAACGGAGAAGCCTACTACAAGAAAATAAAAGAAATACAACTGAATACAAAACCTTTAATGCAGAAATAAGAAGACATATAAAACAAGATCTCAAACGCATCAAGAAGAATGAATCGAGAAGATTATAGAAGAAAATAGAAACTTAGATCTATTTAGTCCCACCTAGGAAGAAATAAAATCATCGAGATGGAAAATAAACAAGGTGTAATAGAAAAATGCAGTACCCAAATATCTAAGATAACAAAAGCATATTACAGATATGAAAAGAGAATAAGGCTCCGGGAGACGATGAAATTCTAATTGAAATGTTAAAAGAAGGAGGGGAGAAGATAAAAGACTACCTAAAGATACTTTTCAATAAATGTTTGTTTGAAGGACAAATACCGCAAGAGTGGAACAAGGCAAATACAATTCTGATATATAAGAAAGGAAACAGATCAAAATTAGCTAACTATAGACCAATATCTCTCTTGTCACAAATCTACAAAAATTTCACTAAACAACAAGGGGTACAGCACAACTGACCACCTTCACACTCATTCACCTTAAAATATTGATAGAAAAGATAACCTTCCAATATACCTAGCGTTTGTTGACTATGAAAGAGCGTTTGACATCATAGAAACTATGGGCAGTAGAAGAAGCGCTAGTTAATTGCCGAATAGATTCACGGTACAGAATGTTAATCCACAATTTATATCAAAATATGCCACTATGAGAATTCAGCTAGAACAGAGATTTGCAAACTCCATTAATTAGAATTTGTAGAGGTATCAGACAAGGGGATACAATCTCACCCAAACTATTTGCTCTGGCGTTGGAAGACAATTTTAAATCTATAGACTGGACAATAAAGGGATTTGTGTAAACGGGAAATATTTAAATCATCTAAGATTCGCCGATGATGTACTCCTTATAGCAACAACTATGGAACAACTACGAATAATGATTTCAGACCTGGAAAAAAATATCTTTTGAGAAAGGACTAAAAATGAATCTAAAGAAAACTAAAATAATGACTAATACAGAAGACAGATCAGTAATTACCATAGGTGGAACAGACATGGAACACGTCCAAGAATATATTTACTTAGAACAAGCTATCAGATCAGGCAAAAGTAACCAGACTAAAGATATAACCAGAAGGAATAAGAATGGGGTGTTCTGACCTGTTCTGACATATGGTGCCCAGACGTGGACAGTGTACCAAGAGCAACTTAGATAGAATAAAAGAAAACTCAAAGAGCTATGGAAAGACAAATGTTAGGAATATCGTTAAGAGATAAAAAGAGGAACGAGTGGATAAGATGCAGAACCGAAAAAACAGACGCTGTCGAACATGCATTGAAATTAAAATGGAAATGGGCTGGACGTAATGAAAGATATCAGGATGGAATAAAAAAAATTGGCCGCTGGAGACCATATACTGCAAAAAAGTCAAGAGGTCGACCGCAAATGAGATGGAAAGATGACATTGAGCAAAGCGCAGGTCCAATGTGAAAACGACAAACAGAAGACAGAGACAAATGGAGACAAATGAGAGAGGCTTATATTCAACACATGAATAGATTTGGGCTATAGATAGATAGATAGATAGATAAACGACCAATGGGACCACTCAGTTTGAGATATTAAGATGCTACGTGTTTACAGTGCTGCCCTATGGGGTTGAATCATGGACAATAACCGAGGAATCCATGGGAAAACTCAAGGTGTTTAAGAAGTGGTGTTATAGACGGATACTGAGGATCTCCTGGATGGACCGAGTAACAAACATTGAGGTTCTACGTCGAATGGATAAGACATGTGAAATTATATCCATAGTGAAACTATGAATAAGTAGGATATTTTGGATTTATAATGCCAAACGACCATAGATATAACCTGTTGCAACTTATATTACAGGGAAAGGTCTACGGAAAGAGCGGACCAGGAAGAAGAAGGATATCTTGGCTCCAGAATTTACCTATGAAAATGGTTTTCCTTGATCACTTCAGGATTATTTCGAGCTGCGGTCAATAAAGTTAGAATTGCCATGCTAGTTGCCAACATCCGTAACTGATAGGCATCACAAGAAGAAGAAGATAGAGAATAGTTAGAATGAAGTTTTTATGACTTGATAATGGTCTGATAAGACTGAAACATATATTTTATATAATGGTATACAGTCAACCACCGAGAATTTTCCCTAAGTGATTTTTTGTATATTTTATTTTTATGATACTTTTGTTTAAACTTAAACTAGCTATTACCTGTACAGCATTTGTAACAGTCATGGTGAAGAAACCCAGCGCCGAGATATACAAGGGTCTGCGGGCAAAATTTGAAATCATTATAACATAGGGTTTCTTTATATCGGTTCCACTTTCATACCAGCTAGAAGCAAACGGAATATCTGCGGTTTTTTCGGACTAAAATCAACAAAAAGTGTATTACCGTGTAAAAAAAACAGTCTGAAAGAAAAGACTGCATAAAAATAATAAACCATCAAAATGCTCGTTTTGCAAGCATTCGTTTTCAGTCGGTTCATCTAAACTTATTTCTAAACTATATACTACATCTCAACTACCTACAACATGCAATTTTTTGCACGTCTCTTCAGTGCATAATTTGCAACTTTGTACTCTAAACAAAGTATCAAATACCGTAATAATTTGTTTAAAGTAGAAAGTTACAAGTTAAAAAGAGGTATATGTCAGGGATGTATATTGTCCCCATTGTTGTTCAATACATATTCAGAGTACATTATGAACCTAGCGCAAACAAACATACACGAGGGAATACTTATAAACGGAGAACGAATGAACAACATAAGATACGCTGATGGTGCTGTCATTTTTGCAAACAGTCTTGAAGATCTGCAGACACTTGTCTCCAGGGTGGCAGAAGTAAGTAGCAAGTTTGGGCTTGATTTTAATATCAAAAAAACCAAATACATGGTTATAAGCAAAAATAGGATACCACCTGGTCAATTACTAGTTAACCAACAACCTAAAACACTAATAAATGAAATGAGGTTGAATGCTCGAATAAATGAACTTTGAAAATAAGGGTACTATCGAGCACAAGTTAATTAAATCTAGCCCAAGTACTTTCGCTTAAAATAGCATCTTCAGGGGCATTTCGTCAAAATGTGAACTATCCGGCAAGCGTAGAATGTGGAAACATTAAAAATAACATAAAATTGTACAAAACACTACACTAAAACGAGGACAAACAGTTTAAAATTACTTCTACGCTACATTCTCTGTCAGTATCTGGAGGGATAATGCAATAAAATAAAACACAAATCACCAACTTTTGTTATCTGGGTGCAAACTTAAATGAACAGTGGGACCAATCGACGGAAATTAAGATAAGGATCGAGCAGGCAAGATTAGCTTTCGTCAAAATGAAAAAAATCTTTAACAGACACGACATAAAATTGGAAATAAAAGATCGTTTACTAAAATGCTACATATTTTCCGTTCTTTTATATGGCGTGAAGTCATGGACCTTAACTAAAACATCACTGAAGCGACTCCCAGCATTTGAAATGTGGTGCTATAGAGGCATGTTGAGGATTTCCTGGATAGACAGAGTTACCAACGAAGAAGTACTACATAGAATGGGTAAAGAGCGCGAACTAGTCTTAACCATAAAACGTCGCAAACTCGAAGACCTGGGCCATATAATGCGCAATGAACAACGATATGACCTACTTCGGACTATACTTCAAGGTAAAGTGCATGGGAAAAGAGGTCCAGGACGGAGAAGAATATCCTGGCTGCATAACCTGCGAAAATAGTTTAACTTAACCAATACCAGACTTTTCAGGGCAGCAGTCAACAAAGTCAGAATAGCCATTTTAGTGTCCAACATCCGTAACGGATAGGCACCATAAGAAGAAGAAAGTTCCAAATTTATTTATACCTAACGGTGCGTTCTTAGATATTTTATGAAAAATGTCAGGCGCTATCTAATGTCCTTTGGAGAAGAGAAACAGAGAAAGTCATTGCAGTAAGTTTGCTCCATTTTAAACTAAAACCGAATGTGACAGAGAAAAACCATATATTATCATTTTTGAATTCGGTGTAAAAAGTACTATAAGAATCAATCAATAAAGCTTCTGAAACAAAACATTACATTTTTTTGTTGCACAATATTGTTAACTGCAATTTTAGCTGTGAAACTAGGTATTTCCAATTTCTTTAGTTTTCTTCCAATTTATGTCCCTAATTCCAAGGATTAAGTGCTAATCTAAAAGTTAAGATTAATACAAGCTATCGTGAATGATTATTGACGATAATCCAACTGAAAATTTTTTATTAACCCTATACTGCGCAATGTAGATTCTAGCAGATCTGCTACGAAATATTTACATAATTATTTCTTTAAATTGTGTGTGTTTAACTGATACGTCCCTCATCAATTAGCCTATGTTTGTCCATTGCTAAAAAATTTTCCACCTATTTCTGTCTTGAGTAGTTGCATCCAGTTTGTAGTGACGCGCTTGATATCATCCGTCCATCTGGTCGGTGGTCGTCCTCTGTTTCGATATGCATTTTGCCTTGGTCGCCATTCCAGAATCTTTTTGGTTCATCTGTCATCCGTTAATCTGGCAACATGTCCGGCCCAAGCCCATTTAGCCCTGGCTATTTTTTCCAAATGATTCTGTGACTCCTGTTCTTCTTCTTATTTCTAGGTTTGATACTTTATCTCTGATGGTAATACCTAATATTGATCTTTCAATAGCGCTTTGTGTAACTTTTATTTTATCTATTGTTCTTTTTGTCAGAGTCAGTGTTTCTGCACCATATGTAAGAACTGGTAAAACGCACTGGTTAAAAACCTTTCTTTTTAAAAAAACTGGGATAGTAGATAGGTAAAGAAATAATAAATAAGACTTACAATCAATTTAATTTAACTATCAGACGACCGGTTTCGCTTTCTACAATATGCAAAGCATCCTCAGGTCTCGATACAAAGTTAAACAAATGCTGAAATAATAAAAAAACCCATATTAGGGTGTGTGTGTGTGTGAGTGTGTTTTTTTCTTTGTTTTTTATCATTTCAGCATTTGTTTAACTTTGTATCGAGACCTGAGGATGCTTTGCATATTGTAGAAAGCGAAACCGGTCGTCTGATAGTTAAATTAAATTGATTGTGAGTAAGTCTTATTTATTATTTCTTTACCTATTTGAAATGGACTCACACGAGCAACACATTCATGATTGGGATAGTAGACTTGAAAATGTTATTCAATCTACCAAAGGCGGCCCATGTGAAGCTTATCCTTCTTTGTATTTTAGTTGTCTGATTATCTCGGCCTAAGCGAATCTCATGCATTAGATATTTGTAAGCTATTATTTGGTCGATGCTATGGCTCTCAATCAGAATTTTACCGCTGACTACAAGTTTGGTCATAAATTTTGTTTTTAAGGTATTAATTTTTGTTCAATTCGGTCAATTTACCGAAAAACTACCGCCCCATAGCACTCTTAAGTATGGTGTACAAATTGTTCGAAAAACTGTTGTATAATAGAATCAGCAAAACCATATTCCAACATTTACCAGTGGAACAGGCAGGATTTCGGCCAAACCGCATCTGCACAGACCAGGTACTCGACCTGACCAATTATATGGAATCAAACTTTCAAAAGCAATTAAAAACAACCGCTGTCTTCATCGATCTATCTGCTGCTTACGACACTGTGTGGCGACAAGGGCTCAATATATAAATTATTGCGAATCATCCCATGCAGAAACACTGCTGAGGTTATTAACGCCATGCTATCCAACATATGCTTTAAAGTTATATTGGGAGACAAGACTAGTACTCAAAAAAACTGAATAATGGACTTCCACAAGGATCCGTGCTGGCTCCCATGCTTTTCAGCCTCTACATAGCAGACATGCCAGAAACCACATCAAAAAAGTTTCAATACGCAGACGACTGGACGCTTGCCGCAACTCATAAAGAATTCGAGGTCACTGAACGCATTCTAACAAACGATTTTAATGCCCTAGGGAATTATTTCCGCAAATGGAGATTGCAACCCAATCCAACTAAGACAGAAGTGTCCTGCTTCCATTTGTACAAGATGGCCAACTATCAACGTCAAATCCATTTTGGGGATAGACTCCCTAACTATAATAAACACCCAAAATTCGTAGGTGTTACACTTGACAGAACGCTGAACTTTAAAGAGCATCTTACTAAGACTGCTGCAAAACTTCGAACTCGTTACAACATCCTGCAAAAGTTCTGCAGCACTACATGGGGCTCCTCAGCACCCACACTTAGATCGACAGCATTAGGACTGGTATACCCCGTAGCGGAATGCTGTGCACCAGTATGGATAAACAGTCCACATACTCACCGTATTGATGTCCAACTCAACCGAGCCATGCGAACTATATCGGACACAATCAAGGCCACGCCCACTTACTGATTACCAGCTTTGAGTTATATAGCTCCACCACCCATCCGCCGGGAACATGCCTTTGTCAGAAAATTTACAAAAATCAATACTGATCCTGAGCTCCGCTCCCATGTCGGAACTTCCGCCAGAGACATAAATAGGCTCCGCTTAAGACACCCGCCTCTAAGAACAGCAAAAAGGTTAGTAGATCAAAACTTTAATGTAACTGAACGGTGGATAGAACAATGGGAGAATAACGCTGCACCAGCCAACTGAAACATGCCATGTATTACAAGCAAACCTGAGGGCTTCAACCAACCGAGACGAATTTGGACCACACTCAATAGAATAAGGACAAACTGTGGCAGATGTTCCGACTCACTTTTTAGATGGGGAAAAATACAATCACCAAATTGCGACTGTAGCGCTGAAAGGCAAATAGTAAAACACATGGTAGAGGAATGCCCGATTAGATCCTATAACGGCAACCCTTCGGATTTCTTGGCTGCTACAAAAGAGTCAATCGAATATATTTATAACCTAGATGTTTGTTTGTAGAATAATATTTTTGTATTTACTGTTGTTTGTAATTTAAATAATTTATATTATATGTATATACATGAACCTGTGATGTAGCCATACGCTAAATAAAAAATAAAATTTTCAAAAAATTAATATATTATTTATTACAATCAAAAAAATTGCGGAATATAGGGTTAAGATTACTCTGTACACCTACTCTGTAAAAAGAAGAGACAGAAGGAAGTAACTGGCATGCAACGTACATTTTTGAATATAAATAAAAATTCTATTTACCTCGTTAGTTAATAATTGTGCTGGTAATATATAGAACATTGTAAATTCAATAGTGTACAAACATAATGAACATATACGTGTTAACAAATCGACGATGGGACTAAAATAAAAAAAAAAGGATAACAAAGTAGGCAGTACAGTAGACTAGCAAGAAGCTTCATACTATTTTTTCTGTATTTTTAAAATGAAAT